AGCAAAATTGCTTCGAGTCCCACATCGATTGTGATGTTGTTAATTTTGTCCTCAACAGAACGGCGACATTTGACCACTCCTTCCCAAAGTTGCTCCTGCTGTGAAGGAGCAATGGTGTTTAGTACGTAAGAAACCACTTCGTCGGCTCTTATTATGAATTCTTCCTTCGACGCCCCAGACAGTGCTTCCCACTTGCAGTCAACATAGTGGGGTAATGAAGTGAAGTTACCATCAGTTATGACAGCCATCGCATTGTTTAGTGTCTCAAGGTTTCTTCTCTCCCGTTCGCCCTCTGGTAAGTACATGCTTACTTGTTCTTCCTGCGAAGAGCTGCTAGGGACAGAAAAAGCTGATCCAACGGATAAACTATAGTGTGTCGAAATGCGTGGTGGACGTAATTGCTTAGGTAAAGACTTTGGTGTTGAAGCGAATGCAGCTAGTTTCGTCACTTGCTCTTCATGTCTCTCAATAGCTGGGGTGGCTGGAGCATCAGCAATTAGAGTTCGGCATGAGCTGCAAATGGCTGAAATGGTACAAGGAAAAGGATGATCAGAACACACGGAATGAAGCAAATGATACCTGTTCAAGCAAATAGTCCTTCAGTTCGCTTTACAGAAAACCTTCTAGTGCGCTTACAAATTATGATCGGTTTTGGGCTTGAAAACAATTTAAAATAGTAACTTTATTTTCTCGGTGAAAGAGCTGGTTGTTCATAAAAAAATAGTGTTTTAGTATATGTGTTAATTGGGGTAGCGAATGCAAGGTACATCCGCCTGTCGTTAAGTTTTGATTACTAGTCGTATAAGAATGGCAATAAAAGTTAGTTAATATGTCATTAGAATGATCTTCCTTACCAGTTAGAGTTTTTTTTTCTTTAAAAAAAAGGGGAAAGTAAAAGAATTTTCTTGGAAGAACAGTGCCACCCTGGGTATCATGGACAGAAATAAGAAAACATAGATACAGTATATATTTACCAGAGCCTATAGCAACGACAACGCCAGTGTTCCTGTAGATTCTCTCCACCATGAATTTGCTCACATGCCTCTTGCGGGTGAATGCTTTAGACACTTTTTTTTACACGCGATGGTGCTTTTTCTTCATGGCATGGATGACAACATTTATCCTACAGCACAATTCGCAAGTTAACAACATACCGTGTCTAACAAATGTAATTCAGGATTGAGGGGTGTAACGATTTCACTAGCATGTGTCCCCCTCCACCCACTTCCCCCTCCCACATACACACACAGGTAGAGAGCTAGAAATCTACTATCTAGGGAAAAGCTTGAGTGAAGAAAGTGTTAGGTGAGTAATGCATTAGCATCACTAGGGAAGAGATGTTTCATTACGAGCCTGCAACTAAAAAAAACCAACAACAACCAAACGTAATTTGCGCGATAAAGAACAATCAGCTCTTCTGGAAAATGACAGGGTTGTAACCTGAGATTTTAGCTGTATTTCTATGAACTGAACCCTCAAAGGGCCTGCCTAAAAAGGTGGGTGTCCTGTGGTATGTTATAATGCCAGATAAGACTCACGCATCGATCAATCCTTTAAAAATCTCTATTCCTTACCTTTGCTTCATAAAGCGTAGTAAGTTGAAACCGATGTTTTGGGCACACGGTCATCCTTCCAACATCTACCTGGTCAATTGCTCTTCCGGAACGATTCAGGATCAGTTCCCATTCAAGGACACACGTGAACTCATTGCCTATGCATTAGCACGCAGTTTAATTAGTTTAGATCTTCCAAGCAAATCCCATAACACAAACTAATTCGGCAGATTTTGAGACAATATAAGGACTTCTTAACGTTGCGAAGCAGAGGGGAAAACATTCTCTACGTATACCATGGTGTCATTATCAAGTCGTAATACCGTCTCAAAATCACATGTAGTTTCTTTTTATCGTGATTCATCTATTTTTGTAGAAAAAAAACGTTTAATCAATTAGTCGAGATTCAGAATACAACGATAAATCTGAGATAGATTTTAAACTGGGTATAAGATTCCTAAAATTATACCGCCTCTATTTACATACTAAAATAACTAATTATAAGTAATTAAAAAATGTATCCGAATAATTTTGTTACCAAGAAAGTTATCCGTGAAACAAGACATTTTCTCGCTCAAAATGTCAATTTCATCGAAAAGCTTCGATGCAGCATGTTTGCAAAGATTTTTCAAGTTCACTTATCTTAGACGAAACTGGCAAATATAGGAAACCGGTAGAGTTTCACGCTCGAATTGTGATTGCGTGATAAGCGTCTGCACAGGTAAAGCTGAATGTAAACAAACAGAGCGAGCAGACGAAAAACAGCCTTCAACTTCAAGTTATTCTTATCGTTGTTTTTGGTTATAGAGATTGCTGCAATAAAATAACTGCGCTCTTACCTTTCAAAGTTAGAGTTTTAGTCAACCCCTTTGCTCTTCCTGTGAACAATTTGTTGAATGTTTGTTTCTCTTCGCAAGAATCAAGTAAATTACCTCGGGAAATCTTCAATCAGTCATAAGAAAACAATTTGAGACGACAATATCGTAAAATATCGTGGTCTCTCTTCAATAGAAAAGGGTCCACTGGATCGCGATAAAAGCCATTTGTGCGCGTGTATGATCCCTAACAGATATTTTGAATCACCTGTACGTTTGGTATGACCAGGTCTTCCTCTTGTCCCGGACGCACCTGACCCCTTGTACTTTTGCTTCAACCATTCAGTCATATCATTCTCGCAGGATAATAAAGGAACCATTCCTGTTTCGTGCGGAGCCCATGCGGTGGCACCGCACTGATCACTTACCCCTCCAAAGGAACAAAGTCCCATCGTGAAATTACCCTTGAATTTCTTACACCTGATAAAACATACCCGCGAAACGGAAGAAGAACGTGACCTCGGTCCAGTCCCACTCTCTCCTATGTCCAAAATGGCGGGCCAGTTGATTTTGCATCATCTCAATGCCCTGGCCTCGTTTGGTTATTGTATTTAGCAACACAAGTTTTTTTGTTTCACTATCCAGGTCTCCTAACTGTGCGTTCCTTCTTGACGGATGGTTTCATTTACTCTGCTCTAGAGGACTCTGAAATATCGGGTCACATCGACACTGCTAAAAACTGCAGCTCACATATCTCTACGTATATATCTATGTATGCATGGTCATGCTCCTTTACTGGTGGGTATTTACAAGAAATGTTCAGGCTATTAACAGACTTAGATTATATGCTAACGAATGCTTTCGTTAAGCTAACTTTATCTTGTAATCATAATAAAAATCAGGCCTGACAAAATATAGAGACTTTCCATACTTGGAGCAACGGAGAAGAATTATGACTTGAAACTGAATATTAATCAATGAAAAATTCAAGCATCGTTTAGAAAGGTCGTTATATCAAGGTAAGGCCTTCATCATTTGTGGTATTTAATGGGTACTAGGTTTTCAAAGTACAAATTAACTCTTGTTTTGCTAAATCAGGGTATTTTTTGTGCTAATCAAAGGCCTTTAAGAGCAATTGTAAGGTAAGAATCAGAGTATTTCTAAACAATTAAACTGATTTGGCTTTAACGATTCATTTTCACTGACCAAATACAGAATCAGGGTTTCATATCAACAGTTTGGTTTGTTTATGGCATGAATTATGCTCAAAATTCCATTTTGCATGACCTTATAGAGGCATGGAGTGTTTGTGACAAAAATTCAACAAACCGTGATAAGCCAAATTTTTCTCAAGTGATTTTGATAATTGGGTCAATAAAGTAAATAATGGTATAGGTACGGATGTTATGCAAGAAGGCAGGTAGAAACACTGATTTTTTTGAAAAATGGCAATTTTGGGTTGTAATTTTGACATTAATTTTGGCCAAACTCTAGCCCCAGGCTCCTCTCTGTCCAATACCTTGAGGGCAAAGTTACATGCATGAAATGAAAGCTCTATTATAGTAATGTTCATAGTCAAATTCATTTGGCAGCACAATTTACCAGTTGGGTTTTAAGGCACTTTCAAAATGACCCCTGAAAGGATGGATTTTTTGTGCTCAAAGAGCAAAAAATGAGACCCCCCCTGAAACTCTAAAACTTAAAGTCAGAGAAGTGAGCCAGATTGGCTTTTGAAATATCTCATGGCAACCAACTTCTGTGCCAAGTTTCAGCCAAATCGGTTGACCACAAGTTTTGGCCCCTGGAACACTTTCTCAGACAATGACACTTAATGAGTTGAGCTCTCTTCAGTGGCTTGGAGAAGAACGCACTTGTCAATGGGTTGGTCCAACAATGATGTTCTTGTTTTTAACTTTACACGGCGAACACGTCCATCCCTGCCTGGTACTGCTTCAACCACACTAGCCATCGGCCAACAATTCCTCGGAGAGGTATCGTCCTCTATGTTCCTGCGCGGATAATGCCACTTTTGGCGTTGCTGCAAGAGGGGCAGATATTCCTTAGACCATCGCCTCCAGAACTGGTCAGCCATGTACTGAACTTGACGCCATCTTCTACAGCTAAAGATGTCTTCCTTTCTAAAGGTCCCTCGAGGCAAAACTGATCCAGATTTCAAAAGCAGCAAGTGATTGGGGGTGAGGGGTTCCAAATCCTTCGCATCTTCAGATACTCTTGTTATTGGCCTTCCGTTAATGATTGACTCAACTTCACACATGAGAGTGACTAACACTTCATCGTCGAGAGTCTGTTGCTTGAGGAGAGGATTTAAGATCTTCCGGGTGGTCCGAATACATCTCTCCCAGACGCCACCGTGATGCGAGCTGTAAGGTGGGTTAAAGGTCCATTTGATGTCCTTTTGGAGCAAGCTTTCATGAATCCTTTCTTGATTCCAAACACAGATGGATCGTCGGAGTTCCCTTTCACTGGCTGTGAAATTAGTACCGTTATCTGAATGGATCTCTTTCACTTGACCCCTCCTCGCTTTAAATCTTCCTAGTGCTAGTAGGAAGGAATCCGTCTCCAAGCTATGAACTACTTCGATATGCACTGTGCAAATAGCTAAACATGTAAAAATAACTCCATATCGCTTGGCAAGGCTTCCAGGACGTCGAATGTGAAAGGGTCCAAAGCAGTCAACGCCAACTGCTGTGAAGGTCCTCAGGAGGGTCAGCCATCTTCTGCTCGAGAACTGGTGCCTGACAGCGACGGCAACTAACACATTTAGACAGGATTCTTCTCACAGCAGAGCTTCCCTTGATTACCCAAAATCGTTCGCGCAAAAGACTCAAAACGTACTCTCTACTAGAGTGACCAGAGATAAGGTGAAAGTGCTCTATCAAAAGGTTGGACACGTGATCATTCTTTGGAAGGATGATTTGATGTTTACTGTCAAAAGATGCCTGGGCCGGTCTAAGTCTTCCTCTGAAACACAGCAAGCTGTCAACCAGTATTGGATCTAAGCTTTGTAAGCAACTGGACTTGTTTACAGTACTTCCAGACCTTGTGAGGGAGCGCCTTTGTTCAGGAAAATGATGGTGTTGAATAGCCTTTAGGATTTCTAGCTCTGCTGCTCTCATTTCTTCAACGGAGATAGACAAGATCGTCCCTGCATGCGACTTCCTTGGTTTTTCACCCTTGCTGGCAGCTCGTAACTTCTCACGGTAACGCAAGAACCAGGCAACTGATTTTTTCAGCCTGTACCAGGATGAGGTATGCTGGAAATACTTCGCTAAAGGACCAAATGGCTCCTTTGCTGATGACATAAAAGAATTGGCTTCTACTTTCACTTCTGGATCGGTATCCGGAATGCTATCTAGCATCGTGGGGTTTTGAGGCCACACCTCCATTCGTATCCAGAGAAATTTCGCCCCCTTTATCCATCGTTCGCAGTCAAGCAGTGTCTCTGCTGATAGCCCTCTTGAGAGGTCGTTGCCTGAATTAAATTCTCCACTCACATACCTCCACTGGTTAGGGTCGGATCCGTCCCGAATGATTCCGATGCGGTTAGCTACAAATGTGTGAAATCTCTTGTCTTCATTGTTTACATAACGTAACACTGATGTACTATCCGTCCAGAAAACTGATGGCTCGGTAAGTG